GGCCTGACTGAGGTCTATCACTCTCGCTCTCGGGTGGGCGATATTGAATGTACGCTAATTGACCTATTACCACCAACACCCCCAAGATAGGGTCAAGATAACCCAATCTATAATCTTACCTCGAGCATCGTGCGCTTGCTTTACTCGGTCGATATATTTAATTCCTCCATGACATCTCGAGCGCGCGTTAAAAACATGAAAATAACTTTCATACGAACAACAGTGGACTCCAAACCTCAATTTTCCTTGAAACTACGATGCCAATTCTTGAACTTGTTCGTTTCGAAATCCCAAATAATAAACACCACGCGCAATAAATGACAAAACAGTACGAAAATATAGCATTCCTACCACTAAGTCAATGAAAAGAAAAAAAATAAAACGGTAGAATCCTTAACTCCGTTGCAGTTTACAAGTTTACAAGTTTACAAGTTTATTAGGTCTTACAAAAAAATTACTTACAATAAACACCGCCTGCAAATAGCGAGCTAGTCTAGGCGGGCGATGTTAACAACAAACACGAATTACTAATCGAAGGCGTTAAAAGAGTCGTTTTTGAATACATTATTTGTCAAAAGAGGAAAAAAAAGTGATAAAAGTGAAGAAAAATATTATAATTTATGATTCAATTGTAATTAAGATGCCTTTTTTATTTCAGTCTTCGCGGTTTAAGTATTAAACTACCAGAGACTTTGTGTTTGGATAAGATATTCAACGGTAAAGTTTTAAAAGCGTAGAGGGGAGAAGTAAACACAAGATGAGGCGTCATCTGCGCATGTCTGAAATTTTCCTTAACTCACGCGCGTACGCTGTTCCGTGAGGCCTAAAATTTAGCGAAATTAGCGGAAAATAATAAGGGCTGACTTTTAAAACCGAGGAACTCTGTTTTCGTCGAAGGCATTTTCCTATTTCCATAAATTAATTTAGAAAAAATTAATTTCCATAAGGTCGTAGTAGTAGCAAGTATGATAAATATTGTAAGAAATAGACAACTTTTTTGAGAGACATGTTTCGGCATGCTTATGCCATCTTCAATCAATGAGTAACTGAACGTGAGTAACTATATAGCAGACAAGTATACAAGCGGGTACAAATTACAACGTGACACCAAACACCTTTGATGTTTGGTGTCACGTTGTAATTAGTACCCGCTTCTGTATTACATCATACTGTAAATATTTTATTGGCATGCCGGAACATGTCTCTCAAAAAAGTTGTCTATTTCTTAGAAAATTGATATTTGAAAATTTTTAGGGGGTGTACCAAGTTTTTGGAGGTTGTTCTGTAAAAGAAAAGCGGTAAGGAAAACGACGCCTCGAAGCAACAGAATAGGAAATCATTCATGCGAACGACTCAAAATCCGTGTTTCCGCGGCAAAATCTAGCGCATGCGTGTAAGTTATTCAGCTCTGTCCCATGCTTACTAAAGTTAATGTTTATTATTTTTATCTACTTTACGAGCAATTCGTAGGAGAATAAGCCTACCACTACTTGATTTGTAAGTACGTTACTGTTATTTACAGCTATACTTATTGTTCTAGTAATCTAGGTTGTATTTTCTAATGTAGAATCTCGTCTACATCGTTGCTCGAAAATAAAGCTGTAAAATCGAGGAGAACTCTTCAAAGGGCACAAATATTTTGACAGTTCAAGTCACAAGCTCACGATAGTGATCAGTCTACTCAGGTTAGGCGTTGTTGGTTAACACCCGATTCGCTCGTAATTAACCGCTTACATGCGTATTTAATTAGCATCAAATTAACGCATACAAGCGGTCCCCTCTATTAACTATGCTTTGACCGCTTGTATGCGTTAATTTGATGCTAATTAAATCCGCATGTAAGCGGTTAATTACGAGCGAATCGGGTGTTAACCAACAACACCTAGCCTGAGTAGACTGGGTAGAGAATTAATGTGCTACGCTGTATTGCGCATGTCTTGCGATTCAGAAGCGCGGGAATCAAAAGATCAAAGGTTACGACGTGAACAATGTGACAGATTTAGCGCTTGTCAGTTAGACGAGAACTTGAGCTTCTACAGTACTTTCTTTTCTTTCTTCTGGCGAAGGATAACCGTTAGGAACAAAAATATTGATATGGTTAGTGAAAGTTAAATAATGGCTTATGACTTATGGCTTACAAAATTCTAAAGGCAGTCGTCGGGACATTTGCATGCGTGACGATTTGTCATGTAATGCTTAGCTTTATGAGCTGTTCGGGACTTTGCTAGTAAGTAATGGATTAGAAGCAAGCTCCTAAAGAGAGGGTTAACTCTCAGAGAGACTGCAAAATCGCGTTAAGACTTCTTTAAAGCTACAAACTCGTAGTACGTCAAATCAAACAGTTGCACGACAGACAAGCCGTACTTGACAAGCGAGCGTCGACGTTAGTTTCAGCCCACGTGAGCGAAACGAAATCGTGTGCAATGGGTTTCTTGAAACCTCCTACAGTTTGAATACAAATCTACCAGTTTGAAATAAGTTTCGTGTTAATTTTCCCTTATTCTCTTGTATTGCCATGCCAATTGAACTTTTGAAATCGAGTTCACGGCACTTGACACTGACTCTTTGCTTATCGCTAATTTTGATAATCAAGTGCAACTAATACTAATCAAGTGCAACTCGCGATCAGAAAGTAATGAATGACTGTACTAGCGATAAAACGAACGAACAAAGCCATTTGTTTACTTACATGTATACTCTTTGAGCTTATTTGCATTGTTTCCAGAGTTTGATGTTTGACTTATGCCAGTTGACAATCGTCATTTAACAGTTAATCCAGGGCTCCAATCAGCTCTTGTTTTACATGTATAAAAATTCGTTTGGAGGCATGCAAGTACATTAGCAATGTTTTTCAGTTGAAACTGAGGTGAGAGCAGTTTGTACCTGTATCTTTGGACGAGATTGTCAGGTATCTAAACACAAATCAGTCGATGTTTAGTAAAAATTCCTGAATGAGCTTTCTCCCTTTTTCTTGGTGTAGGTAGAAACATACGGAACATGCATGTAAAAGCAAGAGACAAATAAGAAGACAGCGGAAAGAAAGGATGAATCCTCAGTTTTTTTCACCATTACAAGTCAGACCTAAACTTGTTCCTGTTGTTGTGCAACCAACAGTTCCATTGGCCTCTACATCCTATGCACTGCCTCCAGTAAATACATTTACATCCCCTGTACAACATAATAACGCCTTCTCTACGTTTTGTATGTCTGCGGCTGATGTTGTATTAGATGGTAAAACAACCACAGCAAGAACCAGAAGGGAACTGGAACATTTAGGCTCTACAAGGCGCGCAACTGAATTGATTTTTGAGCTGGCAGCTCGGAAAAACGGGATCAGGGTTGGCGTGGATTCTAGTAGCAGAGGTAAATGTGATTCTTGTGGACAATTTGATTTGATAACTAAGGTTGAGGCAGGGTGTCACAGGGGCCAGGAGCTGGAACTAATTACAGTCTGGTGATCTCTGTTTTAGGCCCTCCATCCAGATTTATTCTTAATTGGTCCAAAGTCAGCTACTTAATGGCACTTTGTTCATTTCCTATGCTGTCTGTTGGGATTTTTTTTTTATCAAATCCCCATTAATTTAGTAGATTAATCTTGTGTTATTGTTTGATCACAGTCATAGTCTGATTGTTTGGTTGCAGGTAACAGTGACTGACCTTGTAACAATTTGTGAGTGTGGTGTTGATGTTGTTGTCAATGTTGGATTTGGTCCTGGAAAATTATACTTATTGGAGTAGTGGTCAATTAGATGATGAAAATTTTATCTAATTTATTAGTTTCATTTTAAAAGAAATGAATATAACATTTTGCTTTGTATTTTTGACAAGCAAGCTTCTTTGGGACTTATAATTATGTATTCTGTCTCAATAACTTTGAACCATAATCTCAAGTTGGTCTCAGTAGTAAATCAAATGGAAATAAATCATCTCTGATATCAACAAAAAGGGAAATGTCTCGAGTCAAGTTTACATGTGTACTGGTATTTTTTCTTTGTCTCAATATATTAATATCCTTAATATATTAATTAAAGGGAATATGGTTAAAATGTTTGTGAGTATTCCTTGGTTATTTACACCACACTACTTAAAATTCTTGTTTTGTTTCTCTTGGTTCCAAACCTTCATGCTAAGGTTGAACTTAGAGAGGCAGAAAATTATGTTAGGGTGTTTGGGAAAATGTGTTGTTATATTTGGTTTTGGTAAAGTCTTGGTCTTTAAATTTTATGTAATGCTGTATTTTAGCCTTCACATATGTGAGTATGGGTGGACTCTCACAAATCAAGACAGTCAGGAACTCATCATTAGAGCTCTGAGCTGAAGTTATTTTGCATGTAACATTTCTGTCCAGTTTACAGGCCCTTAAAATGTACTGAATGGATTCAAGTTGGGGTTTGAATGTTTTTTCTTTTTTTGGCAGTTTTCTCTGTTTGTTTAAGATAATTTGAATTTTTTTCCTTTTAGCTGCATCAGCTGGAAAACTTCAAGATGATTCTCTTGAAGACTTCAAAAAGATTGCACAGCAAAATGGAATTACAGTTTGCCCACCTGGTAGCATTAGTGTAGAAGAAAATGGTATGGTGATATATCTTTAGTTAGTAACAATTAGTATTGTCCAGAAGCACAATAACACAATCCAGACCATCATTACAACAGAGAATCAACCTTCTCAAACTCATTGATAAGTCATAAGATAAGTCATTGATAAGTCATTGATAAGTCAAGTCATTGATAAGTCAAGCCCACCAATAAGCAACTAGATACCACATCGCATGAGTATGTTTGGATACCCAGTGAAAAACTACTGTAGATGAAAACCTTTTAAGATTTGGATATTGTATTCAAATCTTTAAAGATTTGGATACATTATCCAAAATTTTACTGACTCCAGAAATATTATGTGACATGTTAAATTAATTCCAACTAAACAACATCTCAAGCAAACAACAAAAATTTATTTCCTTCAAAGAATGTATATATCTTATTAGATGTTTTTTTGTGTAGTATCGCTGAGTATTTTTATGAGTTGGGCTGTATTTTGATGAGCCCGTAGGGTGAGTCAAAATACAAATAACTCATAAAAATTACTCAGTGATACTACACAACAAAACGTCTAATAATTATTTATTATCCAACATGCCAAATTGTTATTTCAGTGTGGGCAAATTTTGTGGATGTTTGTTTATGAGGAGTGCGAGACAGAAGTATGCAAAGCGGAACAGAATTGGCATGTTGTCGTGTTGCTGTTTCTATTTTCTTCAATAAATGAAGAAATTTCCTGGTCATCTAGCTGTTTTTCTTCATTCGATTCATCTAATAAGCTTGGTCTTTGTATTTGCCTGCCATTCCAACTCTTTGTTGTCAGAAATATAATTCAAATTGTCCTCTATATTGTTTTTGTAACTTAAATTCAATTCTTCGCTTATGCAAAGAAAGAAAACCTGTCTAACCAGTTCTCTGGAGTACAAATACCAAGTGATATTTGTACTCATCTGTGGTGTTATTTGGACTCTATGGAGTGTAACTGGATAATAAAACAGAATAGTTGGGTAATTCACATAACATTGCACTTTGTATAATTTATAACAACTTGGATAGCCAGTAGTTTAGACTTTTTGCTTTCATGTTTTCAATGCTTTCAGTCAACTGTTGCACATCCACACCTATGTCTTCACCTTTTAACAGTCCACCTTGTGCGATGGTGCAAATCTTGAGTCTTCTTTGGTCTTTCCATTGTCAAAAAATCTATAATGCCCATTTGTTCTTGTAACCCTGTAGATTTTGAAACAGAATTGATAACACACTCCTTTTTCTTATCCAAGGTTTTGGGCATCCAAAACCTTGGACTCAACTCATCCATGTTGCACTTAACAGTGAATATGATAAACACTAAATTAACTTGTTTTTGAAGGTTTTAACCCCAGTATGTATCACTAAAAGGGCAGCATCCTTTAAAATTAATCATTATGCCATTGCCTTTTGTAGCATGATGAAAAGCTAAATTGATACTGTAATTTGAAAGTCCACACTGGCTTTTGAAGTGGTTGGCCTGTTCATTTCTTTCCTGCTCCTGACCTGTAATACGATGGTTTTCCCCTTGCATGTCTGTCTCTCTTTCTTTTTTTTTTTTTTTTCCTTTCTGATTTTGCCCTTGCTGATTCAAACCTGCAAAAGATTCCAACCACAGGTTACCTCTAGACCATTTTTGTTTTCCCTCAGATCATTTCTGCATATCGTTACCCTCATTAACTTGAAATATGTTTCTAGAGCTTTGCTGCTGAACACCTTTTTGAGACATTTTTTTTTCTGTTGACTTTGCATCAGTAGAATAAAATTTGAAGAAAATTTTTAACACAACACAATACAAAAACAAATGTTATAAACAGAACCATATGCTCTGGGAAACATTAAATGACTCAAAACCAAATAATTGGAATTAAAATTAAATGAAATGTATGGCAGGGAGTAAGGAAATTACTATTGAATAAAGAGTTTGAATTAGTTCTCTAAACTAATTCTCTATATTCACTTCACTTCACTTAGCTAATTCTCTGGTTATGGTAAGCTTTTTGTATTTGTCCAGTTGGTTATGCAATAAAATTATATTAGGTTCACAAAAGGATATCTGCCCATTTCCTACTTAATCTGCTATACCAGCTGAAGAGTGTTGTATATTAAATGTCCTCTCTGTGTTATCTGTAGGTTCAAAGGTTAGAAAAGACAGTGACAATGCATGTTCACAGATAACTGAGAAAAATCCAACAGACAATTTAGCTAACAAGCATGGTGAAGGGATGTGTCTACCAACATCACACAGTATATATCCATGGGAAAGTGATTCACCTTCTTCAGCTGCCAACTTTTATGAGCTGAACAATAATCACAATGACTTTAAGTGTAGTGAGGAAAAAGGAGAGATCGCAAATGAAGTTCCATTTGAGTTTCGTACCACTAACACTCTTGATCTTTTTAAGATCAAAGCAGCTGCAAGTGGCATCAAAGTTCAACATGTCACCACGATGATTGAAGGCCAAAAGCCTGAATTTACTCAGTGGGGAAAGCAATTTTCTCATCACTCTGAAACAGTGTTGGGAATGGCTGATTTAGACACATGTGTATCAGGAGACACTAACAGTGCCACTTCCAATGTAGAACGTGTTAATGATACTGAGAGTGATGCAACGATTATGCATTATGTAAATCAAAATGATGAAGGTTATGAGGATACTAGACCAGAGCAAGAAATTTTCAGTGAGGACAGTGAAAAGAAATCAAGTATTCAGAAATGTGGCAAAGAAGTTCCCTTATCAGAATTGAGAAAAGAAATGGATGCAGCAAATACATGTAGTGAAGAAGGCACTGACTCTGATGGAAGAACAAACAATTCAAAGGAAGACCAGCTTGATAATGAACATGTTTTGAGTTCTTCTAAGGAAGATGCAGAAATTGCAGCATTTCAAAAAATCGCGCGCCAGAAAGGAATCAAAGTTGGAAACTCGTTGCCTACAACTCGTTTGTCTACCATCTCCTGTGAAGTGAATGCGGTAGAAAGTATAGAAGCACATGGGTCAGATGTTTTGGAATTCACTGGAGATGCCCAGATTGCAAAATTCCACGAAATGGCGCGACTAAATGGAATAAGAGTGGGTGGTAAAATGCAAGAATCACCTCTCCATTCAGACGGTTTAAAATCGTTCACAACAGTATCTACCAAAGGAAATGAATGCTGGCCAAGGACACCACATCCATTTGGGGAGCTCTGCCAAATTATTAGTGTTCAAGATATCGGGCGGGTTAGAGACTTCAAAGTGACTGGGGAATTTTCAGGCAGTTCATCCTGTTCTTCCTTGTCAACTGCAAGTAGTGAAGATAATTTATATTATGCAGGCAGAGAAGGATGGCGAACGACGGACAGATATGAGGAGGTAGCCAAAAGGAACGGCATCAAAATTGGGAAAAATTGTGAAGCTAGTGCTCAAACGGAAGTACATGTAGAAACTACAGATTACTGCAGTCAGACTTGCGAAGAAGACCTTGGTTTTTTCAAACGTAACACAGGGGTACAAGTGGATGCTGTTAGGGAAGCATTTGAACGGGAATTTAAGCAATGGAAACTTGATGACAATGCTGCTGGCGATAGTGAAGAGCTGTGTTATAAAAAATTGTACCTAACAGAACGGAATGCTCATGAGGCAATCAAAGACAGCCTCCAGAATGAAAAAGATGTGTCTGCCAATACTAAACATAACCACAAAAGAGTAATGGAGGAATTAAAGGAGGAACTGAAGAGCCAGGGGGAAGAAATTGAGGTAGTCCATGATACTTTAATCTGCTTGTACATGTGTTGGTGTATCTGTAGAGAACGATTAACCATTAAGGTGTATGTGTGCATACCATTGTCATTACATATATCTTAGTAACCAAGCGCGAGGGCCATACTGGGAAAATATTGGCCCGAGGTCTTGACAGGACGGACCGAGCGCAGCGAGGTCCGTACAAAAAAGACCGAGGGCCGATGTTCTTCCAGTACGGTCCCGAGCAAGCTTGGTTAATAAGAGAGTTATTATACAACTGAAGTTCAAGTGCGGTATCATTCGGGACCATTCGGGACAGTGCTTGGTCCAATACTGAGAGAATATTGACCGGCAATAGAGCATTTTGATTGGTTGATTTTAGTTAGTTGGCCCTCTGACTGCCCGAGTCGTGTAATAGTACCTAATACAGCTTGCCCGACGATTTTGATGGTGACCTACCATCACCATAAAGCCATTCGATATCTTTCACGTACCTGTACAGTTCTGAAATCTTTACAGCAGCCTAAATTCTTATATGACGAATAATCTTCGTTATTCATGATGTGGTATGCTGGGTTGATCAGCTTTTCAATTATTTGAATTCGTAGTTCTCGACGAATTCCCTTCTTGTCCAAGAGACTTCTCCCCTCGTATGGACCTCGTATGGTCTCGTTAAAAGTATTTACATGTATTCCATAGATGGACTTTAACCGCTTCAATTGCACAAGGGGGAAAGTTGTCAACTGAAAAGTGCTTATACTTACATTATTTGATATTACTGCATTAAAAAGTTTTACTAAGTTAGAAGTGTTCTTACCACGTTGTACCCACCTAATTTCCAGAAACTGAAAAAAGATCTAAAGACAGTGAAAAGGCAGAAAGAAACAGAAGCTAAGAGAATAGCAAAGGATTTGAAGTCAAAAGAGGACGAACTGGAGTCCACTAAAGGTGCTCTTCAGCTAAAGGAAGTCGCCCTCGAAGGCCTGAGGTCAATAATAAAAGATAAATCTGAAAAGCTGAAGACTGCAGAGGAACAACTCGAGGAGATGAAAACTGTGCTGTCCAAGATAAGGGAGAATAGAGAGTACAGTACATGGTAAGTATTCAGAGACAAAAATGCTCCATATTGCTTAATAACAAACATTGTTTTCAGTTGGTGAACTGCATATATGTGAAGCTTAGAAAGAAAAAAAAACTCGCGCAAAGTCTCGAGTCTTTTGTACACAATCTTAATCGTGAACCTACAATAAAGGCAAAAGCTTGAAATTACGCGTAAAATATCACGCGAGCGATATATTTTTTCAAACCATCGGCAAGACTGAAGAAAAGACAAATTCACCTCATCGGAGTGATGCTGGTAGAATTCTTCTGACGAAAATAGTTACGTGGGGTGGACGGTGAAGGCGACTCTTGTCTTTGTAAAGCAAAAGCTGTTGCTCACATGAATGATGTCGCTACTGTTTGCTGTTGTATTTCTTCAAACTGGAAAAATACACATACCACAAGAGGCTCACAACGCGAGGCACTGGTACTGGTAGCATGCCTTTGGCCAAAGACTAATATTTTGTAAAGCTGCGAGTCTCCTTTTCAGATCTATTTACAAGAGTATTCAAATTTCGCGCTTCGCACTTGCAATCGTTTTCGTGGTAGCTTCCTACAATTTGTGTTTGTGTTCATGTGTGCTTATCCTTTTGTGTAATCAGTTGAAGCTGAGACGTCAGTATTTCCCATCTCGCTGACGTACTGCTCATTTGTGTCTCTGTTTCAATCACGTTACTGACCAAATCTGGGAGCATTCAAATTTCGCGCTACGTGAATCATGTTTTATTAACAATGTGCATTAGAAGTGCATCGATGTCCTCCCATAATTTGCTTTTGCTTTTTCGCGCAGGACGCGTTTTAATAGATACAAGTTTAAAATGTGGTTAGTTTCAATTGTTTAAAATGTATTTAGGATTTGGTTTGAAACTGTGATGGTTTTTAGAAGAGATTTACCCACTCGCAAGGCCAGTTTTCCTTTTGGAAGCAAAAATAGTCGCACCTTTTTCTTGAAGTGCTGTCCGTTCTACTTAAATTAAACTGAAAATTCAGAAGACTCGCTCCCTGCGAAAACATGAAAAATTGGTAATAGCGGTAAACACCTCTGAAAGATTGTTGGACTTCGGTTTGAAACAAGGACAGTTTTCAGGGAGAGAGTTACACACAAGCAAGACCCGTTTTTCTCGAACAAAGGAATAGAAATTGCACCTTCGCAAAGTCTGCTTGATTTCAATCAAACATTGAAGTCGTACAAAATTCTCCAGGTAAAACTTTTAACAATTTGTTTTGAGCAGTATTAATTTTATAACGATTGTTACATTTGGTTCAAAGTTGAGAGATTTATTGGCGTGTAAGAGCTGCCTAAAAATATTTATCACACCTTTTTCTTGTTACTGTTTGATTGAAAACAAGCAAAAGTTAGAATGCACGCACTCTGCAGAAACTAGCCTTCATGTAGGCATTGTACACCTGAATAACACTGTGCATTCGATTATGCGAACAACCATTACATTAGTAAAGGAATAATAACTAATGAGTTACTACAGTACGGTGACCTGAATCTATTTTTATGCATTTCTGGAATAGTCTTTTCATTTTCTTTGCATTGTCTCGGTTGGTCCCAGGAAGTTTCTGAAGCAATCAAAGGACAGAGCAAATCAGGTTGTGATCCTAGCTTGCTCTCTACACTAGTTTACAAATTGCTCATTTCTTGTCCATGTACCTGTAACCATATCTAGCACCTGAAAGACTGAGCATGAACCGTAGCCAAAGTATAAATTATCCCCGTGATCGTGTTGGTATATTGTACCTCAGCCCTACTCTGACAATAGCAATCGCTTCAGTCCCACACGTTTCTTCAATAATATTAGGGACCTTGAGCAGTCAAGACGGCAGCGCCAAGGAAGACGTCGATTGAACAAGACGCCTAACTGCGTGAACTAGGGCTTGTTACGGAGTCTCGAACTGCAATACGCACTCTAATATCTAGAGAACTCCCTCAATACTCGTTCCTTGAATCTTGGTCTCGGTTTTATAAAGACATAATTCTACTACAACTAACAAGAAAACAATGACAAATACCGTCTAGCTTTGTATTTCCACATAATTATCCGTTGATAAACCCTCCTGGAACAATTCACAAAAACGTTTTCATGCTGTGTGATTTTATTTCAGTTTATAATCTTTGTACTACGCCTACATTCATGTTTTTCAGTTTTTATAAATTTTCTAACCTTCATATGAATGTAACATTGCAGCTTGGGAAGACTTTGGTATACTTGGAAGAATACCCTCGTAAAGAAATTCCTTCAGTTTTCTGCTCTTGTTCCTTAGACATTTCAGAGTTCGTACTGGTATTCTACTTGGTTCTCGATCACGTCTAAATACATGATAATGTCTACGTAGCTTAAAGTGCCCGTAAACCCAAAAAAGGTTTTTGCTAAAATAAATAATTTTATAATTCTGAGCAAAATGGCTCAAAAATGTTTGTTTTTGGTCAAATCTGGAATTTTTTATGAATTTTTTAAGTCCAGTTTATTCTGCCCACGACCGAGTAAAAGGGAGACTGGGACTAGTGTCGTAAAACTCGGACAACAGAGAAGACTCGAGCTGGAGACGCGAAGGTTTTTTTTGTGCGCCGTTGAAAAACATTTTTATTCGGTTGACATTTGTTTTCTGGGCACACGTTGATCAAGAAATGGCTTCGGACGACTTCATTCCGACCTCTAGTTCAGATTCTGAAATCTCAGAAATGAAAAGTTACGACTTGGAAGTTGATGGTTCACCAAACTCGAGTTCTACGGCCAGCGATGAGGAAGGCACCCACGAGGCATATGGCGACGATCTGCTAGCGGACGAGGAATGGATAGAGTTGTATGAACGAGACAGAAAGGAGGAAGAGGCCTTAGAGAAGGCGCTCCAAAAGCGCCTAAATGGTACATAAAAAGTCCGAGACTGGTAAGTTGCCGGCCGCGATATGGGATGAAGAAGTATCCCTTTCTCTTTGCTTCGAAAATTATTACAGCCGAAAACGACGCATCTCTCAGGCATGGTTTCAGCTCTGATCGAAGCCACAACACGCGAAGCTCACAGTCCGGGTTTTACGTCACGAATTACACTCGATCCATTCCCTTTCGACAGGTAATGGGTTTTCGAATCTCGATTTTCCGTCACTTTAAAAATTCATAGAAAATTCGGCTTTCAACCAAAAAAAAAAAATTTTTGCACCATTTTGCTCAGAATTATAAAAAGACTTATTTGAGCGAAAATAAAATTGGGGGTTTATGGGCACTTTAACAGTAAACTGCTCAACCCTCGACAGAACGTTCGCTCATAATAGTTCGCTTGTAAATTGATATCCCATAAAGTTCGCGGACCGCGGATCTACCCCAAACTGTGTTTACCTTAGTACGTGTTTTTAGCGTCTAAGACTCCATACTATTCACTCTTTTTCGGTTCAGCGATAACACCTTCGATAAATCCGCCATTGCTCAACCATGTGCTCATTCATGCTGACTACGCATGCGTTTCAGCACGTACCCTCACGCGTGCGCTTTAGCGAGATGGCGATTTGTGACTGAACGACAACACTAAAAAGAAAGCCTAATTTATAACTCGAACATTCTGCGAGGCCCGAGTAAAAATGAATTTCCACTTTTAATTAGAATTTCGAAAACGGCTGCATGTGTTTACCGTCTCGCACAGAGCCACACCTCAACTTCAGCATACCGTAGATAAGCAGTGTCGAGTTCCAAATGGAAATTAAAATAATTTGCCGTCGCGGTTTCCGTTCGTAGACGAAGCAAATTTTTGTGATTTCACGTTGTTGTTTTGCAAAGGATGGCTAAGAAATGTACAAAGTTTTAAAACGCACATACTGAGCTATTCTTCCAAATCTTTGGTTTTTAACGTCCTTGTTGCTGTCGCCATTGTGGTTGGCTTAAGGTCCATATTCCCATAGGACCGCCGCACGTGATCGCCTCAATATAAAATTATAATTACTTTTTTTAACTTAATGCTAGTTATTCTTAGAGTTATTTTTCTCTCAAGTATTTTAGTGGGAAGGTGCCTTGCAATTTACCTTTCTTGTTTTCTATTTTACCATACAAGTCAGTTTTTTAATAAGTAGTTATTTCCTTTGTATTTTTTTATTCCATATTTACTCTCATTTGGGTACTTAAAGACCATTAAAAACAAACAAAACGAATAATTTACAAGGGTTTACAAGTTACGAAGGTTTACAAGTTACGGACCAATAGAAGACGTTAATGAAGCCCTACAGTTCACTCCTGCGAAATGCAGTAGTTGTTGCTGAGTTGAAAGGGAAAAAGATTCTTAACTCGTTTACGTTCTTTGAATACGTTCTTTATTCTCACAGTAAACCTGGAAGTCACAGCTCACAAAGAGATGATTTGGAAGATCGGAGTAACGATGGTTGGAAACTTCACACCATGAGAAAATCAAGGAGCACTTTGTTTAAAACAGCATATGGTAAAAAAGGAGGTGGAAGTCCATTCCCCGATGGAGCGGACGAACTGTGCGTCATCGACAAGGTGAGCCTACCATCGTCGTTCAGACAAAGAAATGGTGATGGTACCAAGCATCTCGGTGGAGAACTTACTGTACAGGCTTTGAATTATGCGGAGTGTGGAATGACTTCACCAGAGAATGGGGAAACTGCAGCGCCAACAGAAGAAGAGTCAATGATCCAAGAGGTTATTCAAACACCCTCTTCTCAGGATAGCTCTAACACAATTATCCAAAATGTAGAATCCTCGACAACCCAACTGCAAAACAACTCATTTTCTTCTCATGTTTCGCCAAAAGCATCGATTGGAAATGAGGGATATGCAACAAAGCAATTAGTTGAAGGAGAGGACCAACGTGCAGGACAGAACTCGTCTCTCTCAAATGGTGACAATTCTATCTTGCCTATTAACACAGCAGTGCCAAACTTCACAGGTCAACATCAACCACTTCAACCTTTCCCTCCTATTCAGCCCCTGCCTTTTCCTGCTCTCCCCACACATATTATCGCTCAGTATTTGGCAGGCCTCGTGGTTCAACCCAGTATTCCCAAAGAAAACAATTTCCCTGATGGTTGTAAACCGCCGCGACCTCCTCCTGGCCTCAACACCGAGCCTTTACCAGCCGAGGAACAGGAGTACCCCTCGCCTCCTCCTCGCCCAGCTGGAAAATTCTCTTCATTTGAGAAGCTGATGGAGAGGCTTCATAAAAGGTTTCCAGACAAGAGCAGGTAACTGGTTCAGATATATATCAGGTTGACTAAGAGCTAAGCACGTAGCTTGTATAGGAGGCGCTTGGGAATGCGGAAGTGGGTGACGTAAATGTCAACGACTCACATCTTTGTATCTTGGCGCTTTCTTTGTAAACCTCGCATGCATGCGGGTCCACATATTTATTGCAAAAGCTTTTGTACATGCTTTCTAATTAGTTCTTAAAGCCCGCATGTGAAACATGTGCACTTGCGCTTCGTAGCCTTGACGGTGATTTGTGATTGGACCTGAACAACAAGAATTTTAACCCGGGTCTCCTTCGGAGCCCCTAAGCAGAATTAAATTTTTACCTCTATGATATCTCTACGTATCTCCTTTTACTGTCGTTTGACCCTCGAAGCGAATTCAATAATAGTCCTGCTGTTTTCTGACATGTTTTTTTCTTTTAACAGACAAGAATTGATTGGTTACCTAAGGAAAGTAAAAGCAGCTTCTGGAGTCGGTGGGTTCCGAGGCAAACCTATAGCCTATGTGATAAAGTGTGTCGAAGAAGTAATTGAGGTGAGTTTCGTCATCCTTCCTTTATGCCTCATCAGCATATCCATCTCCCAGAGAATGTTCAACTGTTTTTAACCCTTGACTCCCTGACACTAGTCCGTAGATTCTCCATACTGTTATTTGTACATTTCCTAAGGTGCTGACAAGAAATAGGACGAGAATTTGTTTACAACAAGAGCTTCTTTACTTGGTGATAATTTCTGTTATCTTCGTGAACTTAATGTGATTCAGGGGTAACAAAAGGAGAAATTAAATGCTATTCAAATCAGTTACATGGGGTTGCAAATACTGTTAAGGGTTGTTAAAGTGGGTCTTCACCTTTAAGGAGTAATATTCTATTTCCATGCAAGGGCAAAACCTATTTTATTCGCTTGGGAATTTTTTTTTTTAAAAACCACCTTCGTATCGAAGACTTCGCACTTAACGAATTAAAAACTGTATGCCAGAGCCACTGTTAAATTTCGCCTCAGCAAACATTGCGTCGTTACGCTACCTTTGATCAAGAATACAGGCCATCTGATAGACTAAGAGCAGATGCAAAAGTGGTGTCGTCGGTTTGAATTATTAAGACCCTCTCTGTGAAGGTTTAAACGCATCCGCCATCCAAGTTCCTATACGTAAATTTGGTCCAAGCTTGAACTATGAGTGATTTTTTTTTTTCTTTCAGGAAAAACAAGACCTGTAGGGTGCTAAAGAATTGGTGTTGGATGCTGTGTCAAACATGTGCAGGATATCGATGACTTGCCCCTCGCTCAACATGCGTCAAAAACATCTTGAGATATTGTCGAACGAGAAATTACCTTTTGGTCGTTTAGTATGTACTTACCAGTTTCCGTTTTCTTAGTGATCAAAGACGAGAGAAATCTAAAAAAACAGTTTCTGTATGGATAAAGTTGTTTTTCTTGAGGAGGCCAGAGCCGTTTGTTTTGTTTCTTGTTCCATGCTTCAATGGATAAAGGGACCTTTCTTTTCCAAAAGCGTGTCATACTATGCAGTAGATTTGTTCGATCCAGCCAATGCGAAAGTGCTCAAATTCAAGCTGTCTTCCCCGTTTTTAATGTAATCATTTTCGCCCTTTGCAGTTTATCCAAACTGCACCAAACGAGCACTCCCTTTCCGTCAACCTTTCGCTACGCACGTCACGTCAGGTACGTTACGTGCCTTGTGATCTCATGTATTAACCATCGCTTTTATTTTTAGCCTATTATTTAAGTTCTATTTTGTTTTTTTATTTTTTGTTTTCGTTTTTGTCTTACTAGACCAATACTCTTAAGGTTTATTTCTTTTAATTTTGCCTTTCGCTCAAGAAGATTCAAAGTGACGTGACGTGCCTAGCTCGGTTGATAATGATTGGTTATCTTTCGTATATGTGCACGATCCTTTGCAGTAAAGCACTATTTGAGCAATAGTGAAAATCAGACCTGAAAAAAATTTCAGGCCTGTACGGGATTCGAACCACTGACCTCTGCGATACTAGTGCAGCGCTCTACCAATTGAGCTAACAAGCCAACTGGGAGCAGGCCATCAAATTAATTCGACATAAACCCGTAGATGATAAATCAAACAACAACAAACATATGAAACATATGTATGAACTGCGGTTATGAAACGTATATGTGCACGATCCTTCGCAGTAAAGCACTATTTGAGCAATAGTGAAAATCAGACCTGAATTTTTTTTTTTTCAGGTCTGATTTTCACTATTGCTCAAATAGTGCTTTACTGCGAAGGATCGTGCACATATACGTTTCATAACCGCAGTTCATACATATGTTTCATATGTTTGTTGTTGATTGGTTATCTTTGGTAGTAAGTAATTTATTAAACAAGGCAATGTGTAGATGAGACTTCGATTTTAAATCGTTCGGTTGAGTGTGTTTACCGACCGTCAACAGATATCAGTTGACGTAAGCATAAAAGTGAATGGCAGAGCGGAGGTTGCTTTTCCCAAGCGTGACCTGACTTAATCTTCTGGTGGTGTGCAGTTCCTTCTTCGCCATAATCTATGAATTTCAGAAATGGTATTTCTGTTTTTGCCCTCGTCTAATTGTACTTCAAATGCAAGGAAGTCAAGTTGTGAGTTGTAATAACATGCACATTTCTTATTGATGAAAGTATTGATCAACATGGTAGTTTGAGTATTTTTAACGAGCGGATATCTATTTTCTTTGTACGTTCAAATGATGACACGGCTACCTTCGTGCGCGTTCTCCCTCTGGTCCTTCTAGCGCGGATATATCTCTTATTATTAAAAACTGGATCATTGGATAATGCAATTAAAGACTTTTCATTGGCTTAGCCATTATGGTAGAAGAGCCAATATACCATAAACTACGATATGGTAAGCGTACACATAAGCTTAAAATTGAAAGGGAGCTAAAAATGTAATAAAATTTAATAACTTAATGTAGCATTTTTAATAAAACAATTATTCCACTCGCGTTTGTTGGATAATGAGATGATTAGCCAACTCGGCGCAACGCGTCTCGTTAGCTGTCTATCATCTCATATCCAACGCGCGCTGGTGGAATAATTGTTAATTAGACGTTTTGTTGTGTAGTATCGCGAGTATTTTTACGAGTTGTGCTGTATTTTTAGGAGCCCTACGGGCTCCTCAAAATACAAATAACGAGTCAAAATACTCAGTGATACTACAAAACAAAACGTCTAATAAGTTATTTAGTATCCAACGCGCCAAACTGTTATTTCAACTTCGCGGATATTTATTTACGGGGATGAAATTCTAGATAATAGAGTGAACCTTCAACAAGGGATAATTAAAGATCTCTGTTAAATTGTTAGCAAAATGGTGACAACTTGTGAGTATTGTTACAAGCTCGTTGCATGCAAATTCTAAAGAAAGTCTAATGACTAGATTTTCTACAAATAAAACCGATTTTAAAGGCCTGTCTATATTTATCCAGGTCGCCATGGCAACGGCACATACGTCAGCTTAACTACCAAAAAACACAAAGTTTGTGTTAACTTTCTTGCTGCCAGTTTTGGCGACCGAGAGATCAAGGGTTTTAGAGAAAATGGTGAAAGAAACACATCAAAAACTGTGTTCAGCCACCTTGTGGTGCTGACGAGATAATTTGTTTAACAGTTAAAAGCTTCTGTACATAGTCACTCTTGGGGGTCAAAGGGATAAAGTGAAAAAATGTACGTGGTCACTTTGATGTACCTCAACTTTCAGAGGTGGCCTGATGCAAACAGGCCATTCGATTCGACCTCAGTCTAATATTACGTTACCGTCCTTATAATAAACAAGGAATTAAATTTCCCAGGGAACAAAAATATTCTCAGGGTCTCTAAATCAGGAAGCCTCTTTCAAGTATCGTGTTGGCTTTCTTTGTGATGTCTCTGTGAGAAATTTAAGAAGCTCATAACTATCGCGCAAATAATGTACTTCCTTTGCTCGATTTTATGTCATTGCGAGGGGGAACAATATATAACAGCTAACAAAAAGGACCGCCTCCGTTTTCCTCATACAGTTGTTTTGTCATCTTAAAGACTACAATCGTTGATTTAATGCAGAGAGAGAACAATAGAATTTCATGGGGATCAGTAATTATAAAACAATAAAAGCACTCGGCCTGCGGCCTCGTGCTTTCATCAGTTTTCTCGTGTTTGGAAACCCCGATGAAACACTCGCACTCGTTTTTGAAATATTACATCAGTTGTGTTCACAATAAAATGATTGTCAAAACAATCTGTATTAGCCTTTATTCTAGTCAAGTTCAGACAGCTTTATTGGTAAACGAAAGAACAGTAAGGACTTGATCTCTCAGAGTAGCTTTTTTTATCATTTCACACAGTTTAGTTGCTTTGCCACTACCCACTTGTCCATTACGAACACATCCCTTGCCTTTCCAACTCCGATAATCATAGAATTTCACCTTCTCTCTGTAGTGTTTCTCAAAATATAACAATTCTGAGTCTGTTGCAAAGCCTTTTCTAATCTTGTTGATGTTGAGCTTGACGTCTTTCTTGTTCTTGAACGTCAATTTGAGATTCGTGATATAGATACCATCTCAGTGTATTGTATCCTAACAACTTGTTTTTCTTACAATAACAAGCTTCTCTCAGGTGCAAACATTTTGACATAGCGTTCGAAACCACAAATCTGGTTATACTTGTGTTGTCATTATATATTCTTTCTACCTTCTGTTCTCCTATAAAAAGCAAACCATCATGGTTATCAACAGTTACATTTCTCTTCTCTGCCATCACTGCTGTCCCTTGCAGTTTTCAACTTCTGGTCAATCCTATCATTGATTCTCTTGACCGATTTCTCAAACTGTGGTTTCTTGACTTCTTGCTTCATCAACAGCTCGATCATCTGGTTCTTATTCAATTTCTGTTACATATATATCTCTATATATTTTTAAAAACTATCTTAAAGAGATATTTCACGAATTACAACATAATGAGCAAGATTATAATAAACAATTGCGTTTATAAAATTAATCTCGACCTTCAGATATTCGAACGCAGTATCAAATTTGTATGTGATGGAAAACAAAAAACTAGTTTGTCGAAAAAGGAAAACAGTCGATACAAATTTGAATGTGTCGAAACAGAAGATATACCTGAGAATAAAACAGGACAAAAAAGACAGAATTGCGTTGTCTGATGGTAAGAAGGTAAGCGAGAAGTCGCAAACGAAATGGCAAAACAAAGGTGTGTGTGCAAAAGATGTGATAAAAAAGCGAGAAATAATCACGTGTTTCTAGCTACTAATCAGAAAGCGAATGACAGAATATACTGTAGCTAATCACCATTATATAGTTGAATTTTATCATCAGAACTATTTGGTTATACTTTAAATTAATCTACCACAACAAATGATATGAACATAAGTTTGCGGAGTATGGATCCAGGTAAGTTAGTTTTCCCGCTCAGTCAGGCGGTCAGTCAGTAACTTTATTATCGTGTCAAATCTTCTTGCTGATCACAAGTGGTCTACGAATCGGGGACACTTAAAATTACACTAAAGTCTAAAAATCACACTAAGAGATTTAAAGCAGGCGTATAAATATATAGATTACGATGAAATTTTTACCAGAAGTTAAATTGCCTATGCTTCTGACTAAAATAAATTGGTACTGGACAATTAGAATAAAATAACAATTAAGCTCCATTTTATTAACAGTTGCAAAGGTGACAGTTAAAGCAGCCGCCATCAGTAATTAATGTAGTCAGATTCTCCCTCCTGATATTTGCTTGAAAAGGTGTTAAGGAAGTTATGGCCCTGTTCTTACTCTATAGTTTTGACAAAAGGAACGGCCCAAAGTATCTTAGCGAGGGCTTCCCAATTTTTACAGAATTTTTCCTATGATTAAAAAAGTCTGAATTTCTCAAGTTAGAACTGGAAGGTGATTCCTTGAAAAGATCGACGGTATTTGTGGGAAGTAGCTTATTTTTTACTTTACATATAAAGACTGCGATGTCCTGCAATCGCCCATGAAACAAGTTTGTCAAACGTGCTGGAGAAAGCAACTCACTATATGAAGAATTCCAGTCGCAGAATACAGCTTTCAAACCCCTCTCATTTACTCCATCAAGTTTCCTCGCTCAAGTTTTTTACTATCTGAGCCCTTACAGAAGTGCCAGCTTCGGTTTTTATCTGCGATGCCCTTACTCTGTAACTTCTTCCTCTTTTCATATTGTCATGAATCAAATTATCTTCATACCGGCTGTCGACAGAGAGTATTTTTATGCCGTTCCTTAGTGTCACAACATACTTCCT